AAAAGTTCATGCGTAGACGATAAGTACAACTTTTTCGTCTTTATATTCATTTTTCCGTCTTAATAATCCTTTGCTTCTCCTCTAAAAAAAGGACAAAAATCAACGGTATGGCTATTCCATTTCTCTCTTTCTATTACTTTCCTCTTTTTTAAGGTGAAAAAACGATAAAATAATAATAAAGGTATCTGCCAGGCAGACCAAGGTTCGGTTTGTCCCCCTGTGGATTTCCTCCTCGTCATTTGAGCGCATGCTCGCACTACTCGCAGCACCTTTTTCATTGGTATCTGGACGTAATTACGATCGGAAACATCGAGGGCAGACTGTGCATCCCAAGGAGGTCCTCGCGCGACTATGCAGCTCTAAGATGTCACTCGTGAATGTAGCATCCCTTCGCAATTTTTTTCACTTATATTTTGACGATTTTCGTCGGCAAATTTTTATTTTATTATGACATGCATTTTCACGTTTTTCGAACTTCGTCGTCTCAAAAGCGCCAACAGCACGTTGAAAAAAAAACAAAAAAACAAAAAAAAAGCAGCAGAACAGCTTGCCGTTCGAGACATGCAAGTGCGCATCCTTGAAATTCTAGTGCCGCTGGCCTGGGGCAAAATCGCACTTGAACTCATCCGTCCGCACTTGAACTCAAGGTACCTCGGGTTCAAGTGCGGACGGATACCGCAGAGCACTTCGACTGGGGCTTTTGTTTTTCGTTTTTTTTTTTCCAGCAGACGTTTTGGTCCAGGATTGGTCAGCAAGCCGCCGTGGGTTTCGGTTTCAAGTGCAGCTTGTTCAAGGGTTTGCTCAAGTGCACGTGGAACCAGAAATGGAGTTAACTTAGTGTTAATTAATATCAATTTCTCGGTGAGGGCGCCCTAGAAACTCAAGTATTTATTATTTATATTTATTATTATTATTTATTATATTCTAGCAATTTTTCAAGTATTTTCAAGTGGTGTCGAACGAGGCCCATAGTAGTAGAGCCCATAGTGAAGCCCTTTATTTTTATTTTTATTTTTATCTTTTGGGGAAGAAAAGTGGAGGACTTCTAGTTGTCGGCTAAAAACGGAATGACGAAGTAGGGACAGCGAAATCCGACTCCTGAAAGAAAAAGAAAAAAAAAAAAAAAAAGGGAAAAAACGACCACGGTGATAGGGATACAGAGAATTTAATAGCAATTCAATTTATCGTTGTGAGGGACGCGGGACAATAGGAGAAAAAAGAGGGAAGGTCCAGAAGGAGAACTGTGAGAACACGAGCGTCACACGAGGTTTTATTTCATATCATATTTTATTAAACGAGATTTTGTTTCATTTTTATTACACGAGATTACCAGAGATTTTATTATATTTTTATTACCAGAGATTTTATTCTGTTCTCATTACCAGAGATTTTATTTTGTTCTCATTACCAGAGATTTTATATTTTGTTCTCATTACCAGAGATTTTATTTTATTTTTATTACACGAGATTTTATTTTATTTTATTTTTAACATGCCTCGTGGGGCGATGGACTGACTCTCAAAAACCGCAAAGTAAATTTGAGGAGAAATTTTATTCTATTCTCATTACCAGAGATTTTATTTTGTTCTCATTACCAGAGATTTTATTTTGTTCTCATTACCAGAGATTTTATTTTATTTTTATTACGCGAGATTTTATTTTGTTTTTAACATACCTTGTGGGGCGATGGACTGACTCTCAAAAACCGCAAAGTAAATTTGAGGAGAATAAAATAAATTATTTCATAAGTTAATGAAAAACAAGGGAGGGAGCGGATTAAACTGCTAATCTAAGATGAATGTGGTAATATTGATATACGTATATATATCGTCACATACATACATCCCGAGACATCAATGCGCAGCTGAATGCCTTGCAGAAAAAAGTGCCCCATTGTTTTAAGAAACCATCAATATCATTGCCAACTGGTTCAAAACACAATAATTATAAAAAAAAAAAAAAATCAATGACCCGGAAGCGGGTGTGTAGTTGTATTCTTCATTCTTTTTTGATCCGGATGGGTGCTGGAGATGGGTAAATGCTCCAGTGATAAAGAGATAAATAATAAAAATAAATAAATAAATTCGGTGTTGATACGGAAGACCAGGCAATACTGACGGCTTATCCGCCAGTGGACTGCAATTAATAGTCGTTTGATTTTTATTTTTGTAATTATGTTTTCCACATGGAAAACTTAACGATAATGGGAGACTAAGGCTGGGTCCCACTAGCAAAAAGGAGTGGATTAAGCGCCTGAATCTGGATGTGTTTTAAGCAGAGATGCAGAAAAGCCGATCAATCCCTACTTTATGCACCTCTCCACAAACAACGTCCAGATTCAGGCCTTAAATCCAATCCTCTTTTGCTAGTAGGACTTCGACCCCTGGAATCCAGTGCTCAATTCTTGATTGGACACCCCCAGCCCTTCCCTCCTCAGGGCAGATTCAGTGATTCTGGCCGCCTTTTTGGATTCGCAAAGCCCATACCTGTTTTTCTTGGGTGTAATTGCTGACGCCAATAATTCGATTTATGCTCGACACGTTTTCTCTTTTCTCTTTTCTCTTTTCTCTTTTTGTTTTGGAAGACATGCTAATCTTCTCTCTATCGTTCCAATTTTAAAAGATGTCAACTACCTCGATGACCTCGAAGGACAATGACATTTTCGCAATTACCCCTACCTCGGTCGAAAGACGAGATCCACACCTTCAAGCACCACAGAGATGGAGTTGATTAGTAAGATGCTAATTTTTTTCAGATTTCTCCGGAATTTTAATTTCAACAGAGCATTCATTCACTCGATGACCCCACGGAGGAGATGACATTTTCGAAATTGCCCCTACCGCGGTCGAAAGACGAGATCCACGCCTTCAAGCACCAAAGAGATGGAGTCGATTTGCAGGATGCGGAGTTTGGCGTGAAGGCGCCGAATGAACCCATGATGGAGAAGAAGAGGAGACGATGTCAAGCTCTGGTTAATGGCCTCAGCGCGAAGCTCAGCTCGTGCCACGTGTACGTCTCTGGAGAATATGCCCACGCTCGTCTCCTTCGGATCAATGACGAGATACGTGCTCAGCGCGTCCACGAACCATCCCTCCAGCACCATGATCGCGCCCTTCGGCGCCGATTTCACTCATAGGAC